CAGCTGCAGAAAGAACTCCCTCTAATACCATCTAACTGCTTCATGAATACAATTACGAAGGTCTCACACTACAACAGTTAGACTCAAACAATAGTTGTGCAATAGAGTTAAACCTAACCTTATAAAATTTCCTAGTCCCGATAATATGTAAGCTAATGCATTCACTTAATAGTTAGCCACTATTAATGAGAATACCTAAACGTACAAAGCATGCATAATTCGAGCATGGAGTAATCTAACACAAAGCATATCCTAAACATGACATCCTATCCAATAACTAATTCAAAACTATCATCCAGATCTACAAGGTCATACAATAGACGCATAAAGGCATCTCTCCTAGCATTCTATCATGAAATCCTAAGTAGATGAGTTCGATATTTTGCATGCACCAGACCCCTTAAACTAGCATATGGTTCTCATATCACAACATAAAACATATAACATGTATGGTTATTTTTGGAAGGCTTACTTGAGTTCTATAGATTGCATGCACCAGACCCCCTTTCTTTTATTGGAAAACCTTTTTGAATTGCTTTTATCTTTCAAAAATAAAACTTACCAAATCCTCAGTTTGAGTTCAGACACACCTGAGATTATGTCTGAATCTCTCAAACCAAGGCTTTGATACCAACTTGCGACATCCCAAAATTTTATTTTATATTAGATAAATAGCCAACCGATACTTTTTCATAGAAAAAATAAATGGGAAATTAGAGTATATCATCCATGTCTAAAATATGTTAGAGTCAATAATGTAGAAAACATGGTGTGTATGCAATACGATCATCCTGAGCTCTTCCCCTTCGAACAAGAAGTACCTGAAGCATAAATAGAAAACCGTAAGCACAAAGCTTAGTGAGTATCCCCAAAATACCACACACCATACATACAATGGGCCGCACCCGATTTCCATCGGGCTCGACTCTGTATAGATCTATTAGTAACATGCGATGGGTCCCACTCAACACACTCATTAGGCCTCGCCTAACATCGGGCCCCACCCAACACAAATACAAACACATACAATTCTTACATGATTCAAACAGATATCTAGTATTCTAAAAAGAATAATATATGGGCCGACATTGTTTCCTTCGACTTACTAAAACTCTATGAGAAGACTCACCTCGATCCACTGATAAATGAATAACACTCGAGCTGTTGAACCGGTAAATCCCCATACTAAATCACAAATAAAAAAACCCTAATTAACATATAGACCATAAATCATACCTGTGAGTCGAAATCCTTAATCCCGACTCCTAGGGTAAAAGTCCATTTTACCCTTCCCTTAATGGGCCCCTCAACCCATGCCCCAAGCCCAGAAGACCTATGTCCCAATAACCCCACTAGACCTAAGGACCAATAATGGCCTAAACACTTAAAGCCTAGCAATGGCCCAAAACACTTAAAGCCCAAAAAAGGGGCTTGGTGAGTACGCTAAGCATACCATATGAGTACACCCGACATACAACTTCACTACCATAAGGAAACGAGGACTCATATGCGTACGCTCAAGTATACATATGTATGCATGGTGTACGCACCAGCTTAACAAAACATCATTAAGCACTTAATGGTTTATGTACAAATGACTATTTTATAGATCTAGCTATTAGAGAATGTATTAAATGATAAAGTCACCTAATTGATTCCTTTGCATGGATCAAAGAGACTCAAACCATAGTTTTAGCATTCTAATTCAATCAAATGATCATTAACTCATGCATGGTTGATCTACAACCATAAAGATGCAAACTTTATGAACTAGGAACCTCATAAACATCAAAAGGGACAAATTAAAACTTAGGGAGTAACATTTACTCATAAGAATTCATTCATGGGACCAAAATATGCTCAAATCTCAATTAGTTATAGACATAAGCATAAAATAACCAAGGTCAACACTTTATACCTATAGGATGTTGAGAAAGATTAATAAACCCTAGATGTACAAGCTCCAACTTGATTAATTCTCCTTCACCAAGCTTCTTCTTCTTCAATATGTACAAAACACACACCAAACACACACAAGGATCAATTCTCTCTAAAATTGGGTTAGGGTTTGAGATCTTGCTTTTAGGGACAATGGAGGCCGGTAATGAGAGAACCTTATGGCATAAGGTTTTTTTAATAGGGTCCAAACCCCAAATTTTAGTGTTTACATCTAGCACAGGTATGCCTATTGTACCATATATAGACCCAACATACTAAGGGGAAACCTCATGCCCAAAGCTCACCATTGGTACGCCCATCGTACCATGATTACCCCCAACATATTTAGCCAACTTACAAACTCAATAATAGTTATATCTTAAGAATTTTTGCCTGGAGACCAGGCATTACACACCTGTACTTCATCGATGGCTAACAATATCCAGCAAACACAATCAAACCTGCATCTTTGGTAATTTTATAAAGGAAGAAACATTACTTCAGAAATCATTCAATTGTGAATGTTTCTCATTCTTTCCACTTGATTCTTTTTCTATTTTCACCAATCCTATATCAATGAAAATTTAAAATCATTAGTTGAAATTTCAAGCATCAAGTATTTATCAATTGTAGTCGTCAATTGCTTTCATCGACAATTGAGAATTGACAAGTGCAGTCGACAAATACGATATCTATTGGAAATCTGAAATATCTAATTGATATCGCCAATTACTTAATTGAAATATGAAATTGATCACTAAACCATGGGAGCATGATCTATTAACAATCTTATCGATGAGCCACTAACATTATGTGTATTGTCGATTAGGATCCTCAATCTTTTTGTCAAATCCTTCAATAGCTCATCATTTAGATCACATCTACTACCTACGCTCATCTTCTCTCACATCATCTCCCTTATCCTTCATGTTTCCTTCTGCAATATGTAACAATAATGCATAACTTATATTTTTTTAAGTAACCTTCTACATTTAAAATCATATTATAAGTATGGTACATGTCAATCTTACAATATTTTTGACTGTTGAAGGAGGCATGCTCGACCTATTTTTGCCACTTGAAATCCTACCAGATAAGCCACACGAGAATACACTTAATCTTTTAAGTATTTTATTGTTTAAAACAAATTGATCAACTGATTTAGAGTATGAATTTGATAAATGTTTTGAGCTAGTTATGCAGTGACTAATACTCTTTCAGGCTACATAGAAGCTGTCATTTCATCAGTAGTCTGTTTTCTATGTTTTATATGATCTTACTTTAGGGTAGAATTATCATAATTGTTGTTGATCATATATTGTAACTTCTTGATTTACAGGTTGTTTTTATATTTGATGCAAGGTGAGATTGTCTTATGGTTCAACAACTCATTTTGATAAATGCTACATTTTCTTTGAAAATTTAATCCCCAAAGTGTTTGTTTTATGAGATGTTGGAGATGATGTTTTGTTATTTACTTGTAAATCTGGTAGTAATGCGGCTCTTGCATGTAGTGAATTAAAACCTTTTTCTAAGACTGCATATTCTTATTCTTAGTAATATTAACTCATTCATTTTAATTCTGATCAAATTTCATTATTTCTTATAAATATTTTTGTTTTTTATAGAACCTTTGGTTGGGTTGATACGAAGAGAAAGAGACCGACTGACAATCTTTAAAAAAATGACAACTTTCTTCAAGAATGAATAGTATTTTCTCAAGAATGAAGGATATTTTTACAAAATTGAAGCATGTTATTGCCTATTCATTCAAGAATGAAATGTTTCTTTGATGAAGATTGTAATTCTTTTTAGGAATTGTTATACTTTAGTAGAGGTTCTATTGAATTTCATGTAAATACAATGTTCTAATCTATTCTTTGAAAAACATCAACATGTCCTTCCTTATAATTTTAAGAATGAAAGTTGTATTATTTAATGAAATTTTAAAATGAAGTAAATACATTAATTAATGCGTTTGTAAAGTTTCTAAACTTTGGTTCAAATCTATAAAAAAAATAAACGACGTGTCATAAAGTTTGAAGTTTCCTAAAATAAGAATACCTAAAATGTCCATAATACCCTTTTAGACATTTACTTACATAAAATATATTAATAATTTTGTTTTTTCATTCTCTCAAAAATCACTCTGATTTTCATTGATCCAATGGCCAGAATCGAGTTACACAGTTATACAATACTTATTACTTACTAATGTGACCTGGTTCCACTACGACAGTGCTCTACGTCTTCTGTGATTCCGATGAACCTACAAGATCACAACAAGAAAGGATCGTTAGCCACTCTCCAGGAGGGGGATCCTTGGAAAACGCTCTCACGGTAAAGTCAATGGATAGAATTGAGATTGTATTGTGAGTAAACTTAGAGAGAGAGAGAGAGAGAGAGAGCGACTTAATTCATAAGGCACTAGGGGTAGCCTTTTATACTAAATCCTTCTACTAGTCCATATGAGCTAATGGCGTCAGACCATACAGGATCAAGGATGCTGATTGGGCGATCGTGCTCCTTAATCTGTCAGATCCATTGATTGGTTCAAATGGTAATGCTCTGAGCATCTGGCTTGTAGTATGCAACTGTAGCATTTTTCCCGGAGTGGATGGAGCCCCTAACGGGGCTGAGCCTTTCTCTGCGAGCACCTTGCTCTTAGAGGCGTTGATGGGCGCTAGCTTATATCGGGCTTACACTGCCGGGCATGACATGCTTTGGCCCATTCTCTAGAGTGTCTGGGTGCAGCTTCTTCGTATGTGATAAGGGCACATCATTAAGTCCCCTAGTCTAGTAGTCATATCATTGCTAGACTAGATATGACGTTCTGGACTTAACTGCTTGGTACACACATCGTGCTCTAATTCAATCATCGCTTCAATTTTTACCGCGACGTGACTGCCCATTATGGCAGTTAGTTACATCATCACCTCAGGGATTTTAAATACCTTTCCTTTCCTTAATTTTTATAAGGTCAAATTTTTTCCTTATTCATGCCACTTCTTTCTCCTTTCTTTTTCATTTTTCCTTTAGCGATTTTTTTTTCTCTTGGTCCTATGGCTACTCAATCTAGTACAATATTTTCTGAGGCCGACTTCAAGCTCGTTGGCGATGCTTATGGCCTTTCTCCGAATGAAGGAGTTGAGTTTCCCTCGCCTGATTTGCTGATGTTATCTCCTCCCCCAGGCAAGGTGGGTGTCTACCTGAAAACCCTTGATGCTGGTATGTGTCTTCCTCGTCATTTTCAAGAGGTGATTTTGCAGAAAAATGGGTGTAGCATCCAAATACTCACTCCAATTGCTATCAACAAAGTATTGGTGTTTGAGACGATCTGTCGAGACAATGTGATGCTTCTCGATTACTGATGTGTGTGAAACCAACTAGTTTTAATCCTACTAAGTTAAACACAAAGACAAACACACGAAAGGCAGTGTACCTATCAATTAGCAGTTTAGTTCAGGTAAGTAGGGTATCGAACACAGGGAACGGTAAACAATTAAAATAGATGCTAATATTATCTAAATACAACAAGTAATAGAAAGGGGGTTTTCTCTAGTTTTGCAAGACTAGAAACTTAAACAATTAACTAAAACTTAAACTAAGAAACTAAGAGCTAAGCAAATAAAAATCAACTAAATTCAATAATAAAGAGGAATTCTGTTTAGGATCGACTCGTTTGTTCCCATGGATGATTTCAATGTATCGGATTAATTCTTCATTGGCTACCGACTAAGATGATTAGTTTCACGTTTGCTATTACTAATCCTTAGGAAAAAAATTAACTCAAGTAGTGGCCAGTTGTCTAAATTAATGAATTTCCTAGATTATTGATTCGGGTTAAGTAAGACTTGTAGTGGTTAACTAAATTGGCCCTTCTATTAACCTCTTGTCGATGTTCATCCAACAAGCTTACACATTAACTTACCTATCTGCTAGTTAATTCTAGTTTCACGTTCGTTATTCCTAGACATACAACTATGTGGTCACAATAAATCATATGAAATTAATAACTAAGAGATGTTCATACAACTTAATTACTGATTTATTAATAGAAGAATAGTTATTGTCAACACATAAGGTTCTTTAACAAGCTTAACACAACATAATTACCAATCAAAATTAATCCTACTCAAATAATCAATCCATGTTCACAAAATTGTCTACCCTAACAGAAGAATAAGTTTTTAGCTCATGATTACAGTAAACATAAACACAAAAACGAAATCAAAGTATGTAAACTTGATTCAAATCAAAAATTTACTAAGAATAAACCAAAATTGTCTTGATTCTCTTCACAATTGAATGTAGGGTTGATTCTTCAGTTCCTCACGACCTAGCAGCACTTCCAATCGTTTCTCAGCCTCCTAGGGTTTCTCTCCATGCTATGATATCGATCTGAAAGTCACTTTATATAGATTTTCACAAAACAGAGGCTACTCGGCGAGTCCAGTGACCTACTCGGCGAGTCCGTCACTTAAAACCCGTGTACGGCAAGTCAGCGCGTCCAAAATCGCGAAACTTCAGACCAACTCGGCGAGTAATCTACCCTAATCGCTGAGTACGTTTGGAATCAGCATTTTCTCAAAACAAGAAAGTCGTTCGAAATTGTGTCTAGTTTTCAGAACATTTTGAATCTCGTCAATCAGAGTTACGGTTCATGAGATATGGCCAAAACACTAACAAGGGGTCAAGCTGTCCAGCAACGTCCTTCTTTCTTCAAAATCCAAGATCCAAACGTCCAATCGCCAATTCCGCTTCCTTTTCCACCCGCGCATGTCATCATTGCTGAAAAATGAAATTCTAAACTAATTAAGCACTTTTTGTTCATTAAATGAGACAAAAACAACATAAAGTATTAAGATAATGCATGAAGTTTATAACTAAATATGCTCATATGAAAATACCCCACACTTGACTTTTGCTTGCCCCCAAGCAAAACTGAATTTTAGTACACTAATATTACATAAGACAATCCCAATAAAACCCAGCCATTATGCCAAGACCGCAACGCATGCATTTGTGTCTAAAAGTTTCCTAATAAACCCCCATACTCCAAATACTCACAATCCTTATAAACATTCACCCACTTTTTCCGAACAATGCTCATTTTATGCATCCCTCCGAATCCATCCTAAGAAAACCTCTTAACCTCAAGGTATTTTTGATTGAGCAACCCAAGCATACATAATCTAGACAATTACAATTTATGATACCACATTGGAGCTCTTTGGAATTGTTCACTTCTTTGACATTTGATCTTTAATTTCGTTGAATTCACCACCTTGTAGTTTGATTTTTGGTATCTTCAACTTTTTGAATTTCTTCGGAATTTTCGATCTTCTAATTTCATACTTAATTTTGATGCTCCAAAAATTCTTCAAACTTTTCTTGTAATTCTCTCTCTCTCTTTTTAACATGTAACTCACTTTTTTTTCACTCTAAACCCTACATGCTTAAGTAGGGGCGCTCAACTTCAACCTTTATTGGTTAACGATAATAATTTTCCTGGTTACATTTCTGGTACACGATGCTAAACATATTGCATCCTTCAAACTAAGCGAGGTCGTGTTTTTGTCCCATGATTTCACTGGAATAAGGAAGCCACAAATGCACTAGAACGTATATAGGCTCAACTAAACATTTGGGTTTTCATGCAATCATCAACACAATTCTAACATGGAATCCTAATTTACTTTTACCAAAATTTTCTAAATTAAATCCTAAGTAATATTTTTGGTATGCAAAAATTTCAAAATTAACTAAAATTTAACTAAAATTTTACTAATGTAACCAACCAACCCCCTACCACACACTTAATTTATGCAATGTCCCCATTGCATATCATGCATGATAAAGAACAATAAAAATAAGGAGAGAATTGGAACAAACTCCCCTGGGATAGTAGTGGCAAGGTTGATATCTATTCTCTTCAGCTCCATCTTCATTTGACTTTAGACATGGGAACAGCTCATCCATGTCTTGGGTGTCAAAATATTGTGTGGTACAGTCTTTATAAAAGCTCCAAACATAAGGGAAAAACTCTTGGAAATGCTCGGAAAATGATCTTCAAAGAATAGAATCAATGCCCATATCAAATGTCATCAAATCTTCATCTCAAAAGTAAGAAGAATGAGCGACTTGTCGAGTAAGTATGTAGACTCGCCAACTTGAAGTGTAAATGGCAGAAGAATCGTGAATTTTCACATGGACTCGGCAAGTCCATAAGATGCACTCGGCGAGTAGACCGCTGTGTGACAAAAATTTTATTTTGCCCAAGTCCGTTTATGATGTATGGGGGGTTATATAAACTAATAATTTCCCTCATTTTTCTTTAGGTAATAAACACTATATAACCCTTCTATCAATTGGACTCATAGCTTGACTCAAAACTTCGTTTCCTCTCTCGCCTAGACTCGATTTCTCGCTTCATCAGCCTTGACTCTAGACCCTCACATGCATCCTTACACTCAAACTGAAAAGATCAAAAACAAATACCAAGTAATAATAAAAATAAATCAAAATAAAAATCCTAAATTATCTCTAAATACTAGAAGTTTAGAAAGAAAAAGAAAAACAAACTCTAATGACGGGTTGCCTCCCGCAAGCGCTTCTTTTTGTGCGAGTCTTTAGCTGGACTCCCAACTTAATAAACTTCCAATAAACTCAATGTTAATCCATCCGTTGCATTAAATATTTTCTTTGGACCAATTTGTAAAATTTGACTCTTTGCTTCAAAAATTGACCAAACAAGCTTGAATTCATAAAACCCAAGAATATTGAGAAGGGTTGGAACCGGTTGGATACTAATCATAAATGGATCGTGATTTAGAACATTCTCCAAAGTTGGAATCGTCACCCCATGCTTCGAAACACAAACCGGAAGAACAGGGGACCATGTTGTGGTAATGGTCAAACCACGAGTTGGTTCCTGCAATTCAGCTTGTTCTTGTTCTTCATCTGACCCTTCTGCCAGCAACCTTTCCAGCTCCTCCAAATCTTTTTTTGGATTAAATTCTTCATCTAGTAAATTTAGCTCTTGTGACTAGGATTGCTCTTGTTCGTTAGTCAAGAATTTATCTAACCATCTATCAAATTTCTTCAAATCATCATCTGAGTCATAGTCCTCATCTTTTTGCTCATTTACCTGCACTACTTCCTCAAGAAAAGCATCAAGAGCATCGAGATTTGGAAAATACATAATAAATAAAAATAAAAATAAAAATAAAAATTACACTAAATAAAAAAAATTAATCAACAAATAAAAATAAATATGATAACAATTAGCAAATAAAATTAACTATTTAGAACCGTTCCCCGGCAACGGCGCCAGAAACTTGATGTGTGTAAAACCAACTAGTTTTAATCCTACTAACTTAAACACAAAGACAAACACACGAAAGGCAGTGTACCTATCAATTAGCAGTTTAGTTCAGGTAAGTAGGGTATCGAACACAGGGAACGGTAAACAATTAAAATAGATGCTAATATTATCTAAATAAAACAAGTAATAGAAAGGGGGTTTTCTCTAGTTTTGCAAGACTAGAAACTCAAACAATTAACTAAAACTTAAACTAAGAAACTAAGAGCTAAGGAAATAAAAATCAACTAAATTCAATAATAAAGAGGACTTCTGTTTAGGTTCGACTCATTTGTTCCCATGGATGATTTCAATGTATCGGATTAATTCTTCATTGGCTACCGACTAAGATGATTAGTTTCACGTTTGCTATTACTAATCCTTAGGAAAAAAATTAACTCAAGTAGTGGCCAGTTGTCTAAATTAACGAATTTCCTAGATTATTGATTCGGGATAAGTAAGACTTGTAGTGGTTAACTAAATTGGCCCTTCTATTAACCTCTTGTCGATGTTCATCCAACAAGCTTACACATTAACTTACCTATCTTCTAGTTAATTCTAGTTTCACGTTCGTTATTCGTAGACATACAACTATGTGGTCACAATAAATCATATGAAATTAATAACTAAGAGATGTTCATACAACTTAATTACTGATTTATTAATAGAAGAATAGTTATTGTCAACACATAAGGTTCTTTAACAAGCTTAACAAAACATAATTACCAATCAAAATTAATCCTACTCAAATAATCAATCCATGTTCACAAAATTGTCTACACTAACAGAAGAATAAGTTTTTAGCTCATGATTGCAGTAAACATAAACTCAAAAACGAAATCAAAGTATGTAAACATGATTCAAATCAAAAAGTTACTAAGAATAAACCAAAATTGTCTTGATTCTCTTCACAATTGAATGTAGGGTTGATTCTTCAGTTCCTCACGACCTAGCAGCACTTCCAATCGTTTCTTAGCCTCCTAGGGTTTCTCTCCATTATATGATATC